AGGACAGACGTTGCCCAGCTGCCTAGATGGCTGACTTCTGGGCTGATGTCCTGGCTGTCCCCAGCCACAGTGCTACTCAACTCCTGTCCTCATGCCCACGGAGGACAGGCAAGGAGGCCTCCCAGACTATGTTGTCCTGAAGAATCACACTAATCTCAGCTCTCGGGTCAGGGGGGCAGTCTCCAAGCTCCGGTTGGAGTGACTTCTCCTCCCGCCCACTTCCCTGGTCCCACGGGCCTTAGATCTCATCCCAACAAGTTCCTGTCCCCACGCAGGGTCCTCCTCAGCATCTCCCCTGGGTCACTGCTCCCCAGCGGTGCCTGGAGACGTTCGATGAGAACAGCAGCCCCGGCTCCCCCGTGCTGGCCACGTGTGGGACCTCCTGTGGCCTGGTACCTCCTGTGGCACTGCCGGCAGTGACGGTCCAGCCCCGAAGGCCGCAGCCCACCCTCAGGTGAGCTCCACGGGGCGGGGTGAGCGGTGAGTTTCCACGCTCAAGGTCGCCCCTGAGTCCAAGCATGGGAGGAGGTTTAGTGGCCCCAACCAGGTCCCCTCTGGTGCTCATTTTGTCTCTTCTGGGTCAGTCCCCTCTTCTTAAGATCTTCTGGGAAAACGTTACCTACTGTCTGTCTACACCGAGGACACACTCGAGATTTTGTTTTGCATTTTAGAAATTTCTTTAAGTGTAGAATGAAATGCATGGCTCTTCCCCCTCAGAAACTGGATTTTCAAGCAGGGCTACAACCTTGGGGGGAGAAGGGCACCTTTTGGTTAAACTACTGTAAGTTGCAGGAAATTATCTGTGCACAGATGACTGGCCCAGAGCAAGAAAATTCCATTATTACTGTCCTCCACACCCAAACAAAGGGCGGGGGGGCCCGGATCTGAGGATGCCCTCACTTAGTGGGGGCGGGGGCAGGATCGACATTTGTTCAGGGAGGCACAGACCCGACCTGCAGCCATCAAAATAGAAGGGGCCGGGAAAACCTGCACTCCTTCCGGGAAAGTCCTGCTTCCGTGGAATTGTCATGTGGGCAGCGGCTCAGCCGTGCAGCCTGGCAGCTAGTCGCCCGGGCGGACCCGGGGCTCTTTCCAGTCTGGAAGTCCTGTGATTCTAACCCCAAGTCCATTATCTGGGGAAGCACATTAAATATAGCGGCGAGGAAAGCACTTGAATGCCTCTCACGGTTTGGATCAGATAAAATTCATATTTATTTTATGGAACAAATAGGCAGACAGAAAATTTTGTGGACAGTAGCCATATGATTCAAGGACGCAGTAATGGGATTCGAACTTGACTGTTGCGGCCTCCGTTCGAGGCAGTACAAGGGAGTGCAGGTGGCCCTCTGGTTGTCTTGGCAACTATTCCCCGCCACTCCCACTTGCTCATTCTGGGGCGTTGGGGGTCGCCTAGCAGCCTGGGCGGGCCTTGGGACATTGCACCAAATAGTAGGGGGTCACACAGGCACACGACGGTGACAGCCAGATGTCCTCCGTGGGCCGGCCAGGCCTGGAAGCCGGCTGACGAGAGGGGAGGGTCCGTGCTGCCAGCACTGATCCGTGGTTGTCACCTGCGGGGGTCGTGGTGCGGGAAGAAGTGGTGCAAAAGGCCAGCGGACCTTGCCCACCTCCTTGAGGAGGTCCAGCTGCAAGGTGGAGTCTGGATGAGGCCTGGCTGCAGGTTTGGGTGCAGACTCCACCTTGAACCCTGCCGTCCGTGTCTCTGGTCACAGCCCATGAAAGCAAAGGTCTCATGTCCTCTTTTAAGAATGAGGAAGACTCCCTTCCTCCCCCGGTCCTGTCTCTTTGGCCAGGCCCAAACCAGCGCCCCTGCTCGGACCACTGGCATGCACGTCTGGCAGTGGGACTGTGGCTCACGGGCCCCGAAAGACAGGCCACCCCGCAGGACAGTGGACGAGATTGTTCTGTGAAGGAGGGAGAGAGCGAGGGCCCAGGGCCTGCCCCCCACCCCAACGTCCGACATGGAAAACCGCCCTGCTTCCAGAAGGGACGTGGGAGCCAGGCTGACCTAGAGCGGGGGAGGCCGCCTGGAGGCCAGCCCCCAGCAGAGCCACTGAGAAGGCAGGTGGGGAGGGACACTCGCAGAGTCACCAGAGGCTGGGCTTCCGGCGTAGCCGCGGGCCCCCTTGCTGATCGTCTCCCAGGAGCGTGAGGCCATGGAGCCGGGTCTTCCCCCGAGGTTCTTGGTCTCTCCGGCTCAGCTGAGGTTGGGAACTGGAGGTGGCCCAGCCCCAGCCCCCCTGTGTGGCTGAGGGGTCGCCAGGAGCGAGCGTCTGGTAACACCATTGGAGAAATAACAACAGCCACATCATAGTTCTAAAACATCCCTTTGTCCCCGAGGTGCTTGGTGAGATGTGGCCCCTCTGCCACCTCCGTTGGGCCCCCTGTACGGGAGCCTGCAGAACCCGCATCAGGGGGCGGTGGTTTCTGGCCTCTTCAGGTACCTGTTCTGCTGGGTGCACGGAATTCCCAGACTCCGGATCTTCCTTCCGCCCCCTCAGACGGGCCTTCATTTCTCATTCATTTGCAGGTGTGAGACCGCCTCCAGGCTCCCCCACTGACAGCTGCCTCTTCCCCTGCCACTCAGGGACTCCAGGACCATCAGCGATGACCAGGGCCCCTGGGATGTCGGAGGCTAAAGTGATGTCCATGAGCAGTTAAAACAAGTGCACAGTTTTGTGCTTCTTTGCCCACAGAGGTGATAGTAAATATTTCTACTGTGGAAGTGTGGGAGGCATCATGCAGCTGAAGAAACCTGTTACAGACACTGTTCTGGGTGGGACACATTCCGAGATGGTTGCGTTGCTCCCCGCTTGGTGGGAAGTACCAACAGACGGACAGGAACTGGCTGATGCCCGTCAGTCGCTCAGACTGCGGTTGACCGCCTCGGCTGACAACCCCATGAGGAAGGAAGGAAAAGGGCAGGCCGTGTGACTGCCAGCTGTGACCTATCTCTTCGCTAGTGAATTTGCTAAAGTCACTTGGGGCGGGGGCTGCCGAGGAGCAGGTCTGTGGGACTGGGCTCCTGTCCTTGGGAGAGAAGACAGGGCCAGGGGAGGGCGTCCGGACGTCCAGGTCAATGGCGGGGCGCACGTGAATCCTCTCACCATCGTTCCTGCCTCCAGACATGGCAGGTGCTCTTTATGTTTTTACGGCCAGAGCCCCGGGGTCATCACACATTCCGAGAGCCGTGCTCTCCTAAGGAAGCGGCCAGGTGGGCTGTGGTCGGCCTCCATGCCTCCAGCTCCCATCCCACGAGGCCTCCTGCCCGAGCGCCTCCGTGACCCCTCCCCACGGCCCTCCCCTCATAAAGCGGAGCCCGCCTTTTCCTCCTGTCCGAACAGCGCGGCGTGGCGCTGGGAAACCTCAGTGTGCGAAGGCACGAGGCAGCAAGGCTCTCAAGTGCATAGAAAGGTAACGGCCTCCCCCAATATTACATACCGATAAGAGGCGTAAGGAGGACCCAGGACTGAACCTTTGTGGCATTCATGCTGATGTGCGGCCGAAACTCCCTGGGAGCAGGCCGCAGGTTTTCGGGCCCTGGGCCGTTGTTCAGCGTGACCTCGGCCTCTCAGCCTGTGCTCTACTCAGGTCCCTGTGGGACTGATTCTTCTGGCTTTCAGACCTCCCGACCGGCTGCAGCAAATATGCTGCTAAGCGAGCTTTTCCATCCATGTTCGGTGCTGCAAACAGGGCCTTCCCAGACTGCTCATCTGTGAAGCCGGGAGGTGCGGTTGGGGGCGGGGGTGTGCTGAGAACGGAGCGTTGTCACCGTTGGCGGGATTACTTAGGTCCAGATAAACAGTTTGCTCTGTGCCACGGTTCTCACGCATCCGTGTGTGTGAGGGAGAGGGGGAGGGGGCGCGAAGTCCTCTGCGTGTTGGAATGAGCAGCGGCTCAGGGCCGTCTGGGCCCCTCTGTGAACGCAGAGGGCCGCCTGCTTGTCCTGCAGCTTCAGAGTGGCCCGTGGGGGGACACGGCAAGGAAGGTGGCGTGGTCCAGCTTGTTTATTCCATGGCCACTGTCTCCCCATCACCAATGAAGGAAACTCCCGGGGCTGGTGCCACTGGGGCTGCCTGCTCAGCAAGGCCGTGCTTGTGACTCGAATTCTGTGTAGATCCACATTCTTGTGGAGTTTGTGGCCACATTGAAAATGGACCTGAGTCTTTCAGAAAACGCCTCCAAACACCTGCTTAACCAGTTGAAAGGGATGGTGCTGATGGCGTTGCCGAGTCCCCTTCCCCCGCTTTGTGTGTGTGGTTTCCTGCAGCCTGAGGCAGCCTTCCCAGGAGAGGGGGTCCCCCCTGCCCACTGCAATGCAGGCACCTTCTCCCATCACTCCCGAGCTCCTGCCGCCGTGGAGAACCATAGGCCGGGAAAACAAAATAAGCCTCCATAGCACCTTTGGTTTAATAACAGAAAATAAACAAATAAAAAGCAGAAATGCTTCCCTAAAGGGAGCCACCCTTGAAGCCTTGAGGGTTCTGAGCGGGAGTTGGGGGTCCCGTCTCCACGTCCACCCCTGCCTCCAGCTGAATCCCACTACGAGGACAGGGCAACCTCCGGTGGCATGGCCCGGGCAGGTGGGGGAGTCAAATGGAGGACAGTGGAGAGCCAGAGCACTTGGTGCGCCACGCTCTGGGCTGGCACAGCCGTTTGCTGGTAGTTCCAGGGGCCTGGGTGAGTATCAGGGACGGGTGAGGGGAACGTGGATTTATGATGATCTTGAAACCATAGTCTCCCAAGATGTGTTCTGCAGTCTGAGGCCTCAGGTTTAAGCTCTATTAATTTTACAGAGCTGTCTGCGATTACCCATCTGTTTAAAGGTTAACTGTCTTCACACTCATGAAATGGGTATTTCTGTTTTGGTTCTTACTTTGTTCCTGTTAATGATTTATAAAACGCAAAACGCAAAGCCGGTGCAATAGCTTTAAATCTTCCGGAGGAAACACTCACCTGGCCAAACTTCTGATACACGCGGTGCTGTCCCAGCCCCTCACAGAGGCAACCTGGACGCAACCTGGACATGCTGCTCCTTCGCACGTCTCGCTCTGAATACGTGAAAGGAAACGTCCACCGCGCAGGTGCAGGCGGTTTAGGAAGGGAGGTACATTTGGGTGAATGCTGTGCAGTGCATGGGGGGTGCTGGGAGTTTGGACGTAGACTCTTTTGTCTTCTATGTAGACTGACTACCCTGCCCGAATTCGCATCCTTCAGTACCTGGACAGAAGTGTGCTCCACGCACACTCCTGTTGCACGGCCAGGGGCTTGTCTCCCCCTGTGGAAGAGCCCGTGATTCTTCTCTCTCGATGGCTTGGGAAGAATGGCCGCTTGCTCTGCAGATCTGGTCTTGAACGGGACGTGTAGCCAGCCCTGTGACCTGAGACCCTTTATGAGTCACCTGTTTAGCTTCGGGTTCTGCTGTTGGTAGGACCAACTGAGGGAGGTTAGCACTCCTATTGCTTCAGGTGCCAACCCTTCCCCTGTTGGTGGGAACGGTAACGTCACACCTCCAAAAGGGCCTGCAGCTACCCAGGTGCCCTGCCACGGGGGAGGGTCCCGCCGCCCTGGGCGGGGATGGAGCTGCCGCTCTGCTCGCCTTCTCCTGCGTCCCTGGTCCTGTTGCTAAGCTTCTGCCTCATGCTTGGCCGTGGATTTGGGTTACCATGGTTACCTAGAGTGTACCAGGGGGTGCACTAAATTCCAGCTCATGCTCCAGCCCAAACTTTCTGTTACGTAATCTCATCAGTGCAGGTTCTGAGCACTTCCCTCCCCCCTGGCATGTTCGTCATTTCATGAACTAGACACGCATGTTAACACCGTGAATGCCTTATAAAGCACACATAAAATAAACATGCAAGGGCTCTTGTGAGGGTGAAACGAAATATTTTTAAGCTCTGTATTTCTTTATCTCATTGAGTAACTGTGCGCACATCGTTTTCCCTGCAGAGGTCCTGCCGCCTGCTCTGGTGCGGGGCTGTGCAGTGACTTGTTAACTCTGGGTGCTGGGCGCCACCCTGACCGACACCCCCAGCGCACACTGGGGGCCCAGGGTGGGCTCCTCAGTGACGGGGGATGGGTTGAGCCTCATGACTTTTGTCCTGTGGTTTGGCTGAGCCGGGTCACCCCTGTCTCCTTGTCGCTTGTTGTTGCCGCACAAGGACTGTCTTCAAGAATCGTATGTTTGGCAGGAACCCTTCCTCAATCCCCTGCCCCCCTGTGAGTGTGAATCTGGTAAAAACCAGGCAGCACAGTCTGTGGGTCCCCCTCGCCAGCACAGGTGACCTGTACCCTGTCACAATGTGCCAACCAGCCCTCTGGCCCCGCAACGGATTACCCTGTTGGGTGAACACCAGCTCAGCCCAGGGGCCGAGCTCTCTCGCACTCAATTTAAATCCCGGCAGAAAGTCTTCTCTGAGCGAAGGGAACAGGGACTGCACTGGGAGGAGGTCCAGGTAGAAAAACTGGCCCTGGGGCACACTAGTCCAGCAACCTGGGGCAAAGGGCACGACCTCTGCCCCCCAGTTTCCTCCTCTGTAGAGCAGGGGTACAAAGGGCATGGATCCCTCAAGATGGATGGGGACCGAGCGCAGCAAAGCATCGGAAACAATGGTGGTGCCTTGTGCGTGCTGTGACGCACTGACTATTGCTACCAGCATCGCGGTTAAGACTAGCTGTTATTCTTACTGCCAATCAGTATTTTTTATTGTGCTTGAATCTGAATGGAGGTAGCAAAATAAGAAAGATTAAGACACAAGCCATAGATATTTAATTTAAAAGGTCAGGACTTGGTCAGAATTCATTCAGAGGGTTGATGCACAAACATCTATAGTTTCTGACGAATTACACAGCGGAGGCCGGCTGCCTTTGGGTCCCCGCGCCCTCCCTGCCCTTAGCCTCTGCCCAGGCGTTAACTTCCCTCACAGGGATGCCCCAACTCAGCGCCAAGAGGAGGGGGTGAAGACGCTGCTCAAGATATGGTTGTGTTCCCCACGGACCCCCTTCCTGTTGTACCCTTCAGCTTTCGTCCTTAAATCTCAGTAAGAAGATGCTGATATTTTAAAAAGCGCTCCTTTCTTTTTCCATAAGTAAAAGGTAGGACGATTTTTCATGAGCTATGTGGAGTGTGCGGGATGGTCTTGTGACTCCACTTGCTAGTTCGCCTGGGGCTTGGCTCAGAGCTCAGCTGGGGGCATGGTCATTGCTCAGCTGGGGGTGTGGTCATCACGGCGGTGGGCGTGGTCATCAACAACACTCCCTCTGAAGATTCAGACTGCTTTAGACCTGCTTTAGATTCGAGGCTGCTGATTACTTTTATGCCTGTCTTTGTCTTTCTCCCTGGCTCTGTTTTTTAAAAGTTGCCTTCTGCAAATGTTCTCCAGCTGTGGAGACATTGTTTTTCATCTGGAGCCTGCAATTGTTTTTAAGAGACTGATTCAAATGCGCGAGGAGACCCAGGGACTAGTATTTGCATTTAAACGGTAATTATTAGATGCTGAAACTGGGGCTGCAAGAATTTCTAATTCCCCTCTGGGATCTGGGGCCCAGCCTTTTCCAGGTCTTCCACCCACCCAGTGCGGAGCGTGGGGGGCCACACACACCCCAGAGAGAAGGTGCGCAGGGCTCAGGGACACTGTCCTCAGGATGCCCCTCAGTTGACCCCAAGTTTGTTTTGGTTCATTCAAGATCCCAAGGACAGACATCAACTTCACTGCACTGCTGAGTGGTGACATCACCTCTGGGGTCCCTGCAGGGGCGCCACCACCCAAGGCTGCTCCCTGAGCTGGTGGAGGGCAGCCAGGGGCTGAGACCATGGTGGGGGGGTGTCTGGGGCTTGGTTTCAATGACTGGGCCTGGTGACCTTTCTGGTGAGAGGGCAAGGCAAGCAAGAGGTCCTTGTGAATTTCTAGTGGCCAAAACCATCCTTCCCAACGGCAGCGCGTGACTCTTGCTTGTCTCGGTGGTACCAGTGACATGGCTGCCAGTGAGAGCCAGGTGCCAGTAAAGTACAGATGATGATTAGGTCACAGTTATATAAATACAAGTAAAAAATTACATGCGAACATTGGAGGGAAGCGGTCGCGTGTCGTATTATCTCTGAATAACGAGGGCAGGGCAACACGAGTGGTTTCCTTCCCTCTCTCTCCCCTCATCCTAAGATCCACCTTTTCGGAGTCACTGGAGCAGCAGGTGACGTCCGCCTGTACTGTGGGGCGGAGAGGTCCCCCCCCCTTGAACAGCAGACAGACGGTTTGTGTTCACGTGGTGTGTGGGACACAGGAGAAAGCAGCGTCCCAGGCAGTTCCGTTCCACGTCGCCAAGTGCCCCACAGGGGGCTGAGTCAGTCCCCCAGAGGATGGCGGGACAGAGCAGGCCAGTGGACTGGCTGTCCCTCGGGGGACACTTACTAACAATGTCTCAGGGGGAAGGAGAATGTTGGGTGGCCAGGGGCGGGGGGAGTCTCTGCAGCAAGTGCTGCCCAGAAGCCTGCCCCGAGTTGGCCTGTGGAGTGGAGGAAGCCTGGGTCGGAGGGGGAGAGGGGTCTGATGAGGCTCAGAGGTCAGAAAAGGTCTCTGAGAAGGTGGGATGTGTCACCAGCCACCCCAGGGCCCGTTGTCCTTGTCCCCTGTGCTCTCCGGGCTCCCCCTGGCCCACTGCTCCCCACAGACAGAAGCCGTGAGCACTGTCCCTGCCAAGAAGCCAGTCCCCAGTCTGTGGGGTGGGGCCCCATGGGGAGCTGTGACAGCTTTGAAAACTGGTCGGTGTGAGTGAGGCCCGAGGCCCGGCTCTGGCTGGAGCCCCTGAGATCTCAGGGAAAGAACCCAAAGGAGGTTATCGGACGCCCAGGTCATTCCTGCCTCTGCTTTTGGGTCTGTTCCGAAGCTCACAGCCCTGCCCAAGTGTGCAGGGGGGACTCGGGTGGGGAGGCCACTCAGGGCTGTGCCCACGGGCCACACCCTTTCTCGTGCACAGGGGACGTCCCCAGCTTCATCGTGTCCGCAGCACAACGCTGGCAGGTCGGGGCCCAGGCAAAAGGGGAAGTGTCCGCTGATAGGAACCGCAGCACCTACCCACACTTTACCAAAGACACCGTTTTCCTTCACATTCTAGGGACCCTGCTTTTCCCTTTGCTTGCTTCACTTCTGCAGCTCCATTTTCCACTGTCAAACATTTCAAACTTACTATCAAAATTAAGTAAAATGCTGTAACTCCAGCTGTGAACCTGTGCAGAAAAAAAACACAAAGAGTAAAAAGTCCCTAAGCAGAAAATAGCTCACCTGCGTCCAGGGCAGGGTCGCCGGCTCTGCCCTGAGTTTCAGACCCGAGGATGTTCCCTGAGAGACTCATTCCGGGGAAAGAAATGGTTTCCTCCTTAACTTGGCTCGAGGTCAAGAGTCTCGGCCCCTCCCTCCCGGTAAAGACACTAGAGAGCAGGGACTGGCGAGGGCAGGAAATGAAGGAGGGAAACAGGAGGTCGCAGGAGCGAAATCAGAACTAAGCTGCTTCCATGGCTCTGCCTCACGGGGGAAATTACAGCGGCTTGTTTCCAAAGTCTGTGGGTGGGAGGGGCGTATTGATGGTGCTCGTTGGAAGGCTGCGGTTTCAGAGGGCAGCTCTGAGACAAATGATTATTACTGGAGATCTGTAATTTGGCCTTCATGCCTGCAATACCTGCAGCATTACAGTGGATACTGTCATTACTTATTCCAACACCCAGTAAGACAGCACGCAGCAGGGTGCCCATCAACAGACGGATGGATGAAGAGCTTGTGGTATGTCCATTCAAGGAACTATGACTCAGCCATGAAAAAGGATGACTCTTATTATTTGCAGCAACATGGATGGACTGAGCAGGTATCAGGCTGAGTGAATAAGCCAGACAGAGCAGGACAAATGCCATGTGATTTCACTTGCATGTGGAATTTAATAAAACACAACAAACAAACAAAACAGAATACAGACGGACGGCAGACAGCTGGTTGCCAGAGGGTGGAGCCTGGAGCGGGCAGAGAGACAGAGAAAGGGGAATTCAAGATGCCAACACCGGTGAGGTAGGGTAGGGCATACGGTCGATAATATTGTGACCGCCCTGGGCCCTGGCAGGTG